AAAAACATTTTGTACAATTTATTTGTTTGGCACAAAGACGAACCATATTGAAGGTGTAAGTAACAGGTTCAGATTTTAATATACGACAGCTGTTAAAATTATTCCAGAGACAGTTAATTATATTGTTTAAAAGCATTTTGGTGAGAATTTTCCAGAAAAAAAGTTATTCCTGATGGAATTCAAGCGTGATAGTGTAACTTCTTTATATTTGGCTGGAAAACCACAAGTGACAAGGCTATGGTGAGAGCACTCTAACATTTAAATGTGAATAAATCTTTTGTGTCTCATACCATCGCTCGTTACCGTGATACTGGTAGCGTAGCCCGACGTCAAGAAAGTGGACAGAAGAAAACAGCAACATCAGCTGAAATGATTCAAAAAGTAAAGAAGCGACTTGATCGAACCCCGCGTCGTTGTGGCCGAAAAATGGCTCGTGAGCTGAACGTATCGCAATATCCCATTTGGCAAATATTGGAAAATGAGCTCGGGGTAAAGCCATTGAAATTCCAAAAAGTGCAAGAACTTAAACCGCAACAGAAAGAAAATAGACTCAAAAGATCTAAAGAGTTGCTTCGCTTAACCGAAAGCGGTGAACTGCAGAATTCGGTTTTCTTCGATGAGAAAACATTCAAAGTCCAGCAGTTTGTAAACAAACAAAATGATCGCCAAAGAGGTCGGCTAAAAATGTGCACCTTTGGTGGGTCATCAGAACTCAAGCGCAGACCATGGTGATGGTGTGGCCAGCCATAATAGCCGAGGGTCGCTCTCCACTCGTATTAATCGACCGTGGCATCAGAAAAAATGCCGAATATTATCGCGAAAATATTCTGGAGGGTGTATTAAAGCCTTGGGCACGCAAACATTTTGGCCACAAACCTTGGACATTCCAAGAGGACTCGGCACAATCGCATGGTTACAAAATGAGGTTCCTCGCTTCATTTCCAGCGCACAATGGCTACCAAAATCTCCGGATACCAGTCCGTTGGACTATTGTGTCTGGAGCATTTTGGACAGCAAGGTTGGCACTAAAAAATATTGAAACACCTTAAGCAAACGCTTCGCCGGGAATGGACCAAAATACCGCAGAGCAACATTCGGGCAACATGTTTCATTGGCCGTTTGAAGGCCATAATTCGTGCCAATTCGAACAAGTCTAAACGTATTCTAAAATATGATGCTATTTCCGACATTTTTTGCTTTCATTCAATAAAATTAAAAAAATGTAAAAATTTGGCGTTTGACTTCGTTGCAGTTTTTTATCTCACCCTGTATATGCCTTGTCCAAATCGGTTCAGATTTACGTATAACTCCCATATATATTTCCATGCTCGGTTCAAGTGCCGATTAGAATAAAATCAGCCAAGTTTCGACCAAATCGGTTCAGATAAAGCTTCAGCTCCGAATATATGTTTCACTCGATTTTATATTTAACCCTTGAAAAGTGCCATAACATGATATTTGGCACAATAGTTGGTACAACACAAAATATTACCGTCAATGGAAATTTATATTATGTCCAACTAACTTAGAAAAAAAAAACAAGAAAGAAAGCTATAAGTTCGGCCGGGCGGAAATTTTAATACCCTCCATCGTTTGGAACGGATTTCCAATTTTCAAAAAAAAAAAAAAAATCCGTTAGTCCCTTACAATATTCAAATCCGAAACTTAAAAAAATAGCGAAACTCATCAAAATACCGAATATAGGGAGGTACGATTATATGGGACTATACCAAATCGTGGACCTGCACTGTCATACGCTGTAGTATCTATTACGAACTTCAAAATTCCAAATTTGAAACAGTTCCGGTGAATAATGTTGCTAAAATCATCCAAATACCGAATATCGGAAGGTACCGTTATATGGGGGCTATACGAAGACGTGGACCTGCACAGACAATTGTCTGTGGTATCCATTACGAATTTCAAACACCAAATTTGAAACATTTCCGCTAAATAATGTCGCCTAAATCATTAGATCGTTAGAGTGATTTCCACAGACGGACGGACATAGCTAAATCGACATAGAATTTTATGCTGATCAATAATATATATACATTGTGGGGTACAAAATACATATTTCGAGGTGCTACAAACGGAATGACAAACTTAATATACCCTCCATACTATATTGGAGGGTACAATAACAGTATATTCCAAATTTTCAGTATTTTAATGATTTTAGGGACATATTTCGAACGTGTAGTTTAAACCGTAAAATTGAAGTTGGGAATGGGTTCCAACCCCTCTGGCAGAAAATTTCCCATACAGGCTTACGTGTTCTTATACTCCCCATAAGATATTGTATTAACTCACATGATTGAACACGTCATAACTGCTTTAATCTGAATTACCAAAGATTAGAAATGACCTGTTAGAGTAAACGACTTACAAGAACTCTATATCAGCAGTACCCGATATATTTAAGGTAAATTGAATTAATTAACTAAAAAAAACCAACAACATGTCAAGTCAAACCCCCCTCCGCTTTGATATAAATATATGAACAAATTGACACGAACACCACCAGATATGGCGTGTTTGTATTTATCCTATGTGTCACAGACAACCAGTTCTAAATTGAAATTTCTGAAGCAAAAGTATTTGAGATTCCCTAGAAAAGTTTATGCAAATGCTGGAGAACGAGAGAGAGAGGGCGAGAGGGGGAAGAGTGTCTGCCCGATATCCGTTCATTTCCAATGTCATTTCTATGTAAATTAGCTTTGTGAGTTAATTTGACAACAAAATGAAAGTTAGTCGCTTCAATGAAGCAAACGTCATTTTCAGCCAGAAGAGAAAAAAATGTGAGAGAAAGAGCAGAAGTCAATTTTCCAAAAAGGGCAAAAGACATTTCAGGTGAATCTATGCCATTGTCAATTTCTGTGAAGAACATTTAAGCGAACACTTCGTCTTGTGTGTGTGTGTGGGGGGGGGGTATTGTTGGATAGAAAAAGTGACAAGATATGCAAGGTGTATAAATACCTTAAATATGAATTAGTTCCTCATTTTAGCCGGAAATCCCAAAAGTATACATATGGAATTGGCGTAAAATTGAAATACGACTTGACCATAATTCTCATTGATTATAACAATTCAACCGGAATATTAATATTTTGTAATGGGTACTACCTCCTATGGCAGAAAATTACCTATACAGGTCCACATCATGGTATAGCTCCCATATAACTGCACCTCCCTATATGCGGTATTTCGACGATGATTGCCAAACTTTTCACAACAATTATTTTGAATTCGAAATTTGGAGTTCGTAGTGTCACTGCTTCTTATGCCAGAAAATGCCTATACAAATTCTCTTCGTGTAGCCCCATATAACGTTACCTCCCAATATTCGGTATTTTGATGATTTAAATACAATTTTCAACATAATTCGCAATAGCACCTCCTTCTCTGGCAGATAATTGGCTGATAAAGTCTACGTTTTCGTAGAGTTTAGCTTCATATAACCGTATGATCTGGTATTCGGAGTTTTAAAAGCTATGCATGATGAGATGAAAAAACTGCCACCTACTTCAGACTGCTGTCATTTCTAAGCCACTCGTCCGACAGCTGTTGAAATTATTGCAGTGACAGCTCATTATATTGTTTACAAGCATACAAATGCATTTTGGTGAGAATTTTCCAGAAAAATGTTATTCGTGATGGAATTCAAGCGTGATAGTGTGATTTATTTGTATTTGGCTGGAAAACCACAAGTAGCTATCGTTAGAGCACTCCAGCATTTAAATGTGAATAAATCGTTTGTGTTTCGTACCATCGCTCCTTACCGTGACAGCAACATCAGCAGAAATGGTTCGAAAAGTAAAGTAGCGACTTGATCGTAACCCGCGTCGCAGTGGTCGAAAAATGGCTCGTGAGGTGAACATATCGCAATACTCCATTCGGCAAATATTGAAAAATGAGCTTTGAACCATTGCAATTCCAAAAAGTGCAAGAACTTACACTGCAATAGAAAGAAAATAGACTCAAAAGATGTAAAGAGTTGCTTCGCTCGGACGAAAGTGTGAACTGCCGAATGTGATTTTTTTCCGATGAGAAAACATTCGTTGTCCAGCAAGGTTGGCACTAAAAAATACGAAAGTGTCGATCACCTTAAGCAAGCGTTTCGCCGGGAATTCGCCAAAAATAACGCAGTGGAACATTCGGGAAGCGTGTGACGGTTTCATTGGCCGTTTGAAGGCCATAATTGGTGCCAAAGGTGACCAATTCGAACAAATCTAAACTTATTCTACAATATGATGCTATTTCCGACATTCAATAAAATTAAAAAAAAAAGTGTTAATATTATGGAGTTTGACTTTGTTGCAGTTTTTTATCTCACCCTGTAGCCTCCATACTATGGAGGTTATAATAACTTTACCATTATATCCTACACCTTAAAAAGGTGTAGAACATTGTATACAGGTCCATGTTTTACTATATCACCCTTATAACAATACCTTGTGATATCCGATGTTCTGAAGATTGAAGCCACATTGACAGAAATGGCAAGATCGACTCCAAATGTCATAAAACGGATTTCGTCCAAAGAAACCTAGCGTCTAAAGCCGTTATTAATATGAGTTACATTTTGACATATAGGGCTGGTGGTATAAAAATGACTAGAAATAGCACATACATGTGTGTAGAGCTCGGAATGCGATGTTTTATGTGGGATCCCTTACCTTTTTTGTGTTCTTGTAATTTATATTTAATTGCTTAATTACTGTCTATCAAACCTTACAAGGTAGGGTTCATTATGAAAAAATACCACTCTGAAGCTAGAGTATTTAACTTTCAATTTATTAATAACAAATGGAATAAGTTATTTTGGTTATTTAACAATTTTCTCAAAGTATTTAAGTGAAAGGGAAAATCGCAAGAAATAAATTTTTCACAGTATCGAGTTCCAAATATGACTATGTTTTTTTTTTCGTCCAAAAAACCCAAAAAAATTTCTACTAAATTTGAATATTTTTTTTTAAATAAACACTTTTTTCGCTAAATTAAATATCGCAATTTTTTTATTTATCGTTCAAACATTTTGTCAATGGATTCATTGGATCAATGCCACTACACTCGAATACTCGCTGGAAATCCGGCATATTCATAAAGCTACGATTGATGACAACGCTATAGAGGGCATCGTTACGCTGGCACAGCTGCTGAGCTACTGCATAGAACATAATGCGCGACGAGTCCAAGTGGAAATATTCAAAAATAAAATCTTCGGCCATTGCAAAGTTTTCGCTCTCCAGCCAAAAGTTATAATCGGCTACCGATTCCACGAACGATTTGTAGAAGTTGTAGATATCGGTGACCTGTTCGATTTTCAGCGCTTCATACAGTTCACCATAGTCATCGGCATGCAGCAGAGTCTGGCGATCTAGACAATCCATGGCCGTTAGTAAAGCATCCGAACTTTCAAGTAGCTTTGAATCCAGCCACATTTTTCGATCATAGGTGGCGAAATAGTGAAGACGCGGTCGGTATAACACTAGAATACAGAAATTTATAAATTCCTGGAAAAAGTTCATATCTTCCTGGTCCACATATGAATTGTAGAAAGAATGGCGAATCGATAGTCTTCTTATTTCCACGAGATTTGTGTAGAATTTCATTTTGTGGATCATGTTCCTCGACTCGATCACCTCATATATGGAAGAGAATTTCTCGGGATTTTGTAGTTCTTTGGCATAGCTGCGTATGGATCTCTCGATGTTGAGATCTTTGCGTTGAGAACGATTCTGAAATAAACGCTCCACCGATGAGCTGGTAACGCCATTGCGATAATAACGTTGGAAACGTGTTGTATGAAAGAGGAATGTGGCCATGGCAACCTCACGCCGGAAATGATCTTCAAAGGCGGACCACTGCCAGTATTCTGCTTGCAGCAAATATTGGAACTCGTCCGCCAGCGAAAAGCAATCGTTCATGTCCATTAGCTGCTGATACACATGCCAGACGACATAATTGTAAACAATGCGAGGATTGGTCGCCTTCAGCACCGCCATCATTTCGCTCAAAATGTGGACATTGACCACAATTTTACGTGCCCCTTCAATATCCTCATCCGTTAGATTGAGGCGGGCAAAGTAACGCTGCAGAAAGTCGCTCATGGTTTCATCCAACAGAAAATCGGTCATCTCCAGAGTTTCGTGGGACAGAGGAATCTCGCCTTTCAACTGGCGACAAAAATGCCACATTTCATTGCCCGTAATTGTGGCGATTTGAGGATTTCTTTGCCGAAGTAGCGGCTTCAGCGAATCTTGGAATTTTTCCAGACTTGGACATAGGAAATCCTTGTTGCGTGTAATGTAGATTGTGTTTTCCGCAAAGAAGATATTAAAGAATATCTCAAAACCATGGGCAGCAAATTCCCCCGCCAACAGTGGCCAGCTCAAGTCCAACTGGCGCTCATATGTCTCCCATTGATATTGCAGGAAAGGCCATTTGCGTAGCAGGTGACGATCGTTTTCCATCACGGGAATGTCATTAATCATATACAACCAGATACGACGCGGTCCAACCTTCTCAATGTTTGCCTCTTTGCAGAGGTCATATAAATCTCGTACCAGCACACCCGGTTGGGTGTTGAACTTCGATTTTTGACTTTCGAAAAATTCATAATAATCTTGGTGGTTGTAGAGAAACGGTGGGATGCGTTGCGAACGTTGATATTCCTCCTGTGACTGCTTATCTCCTACAGTCGTGACATTAAAGTTCATCTTGCCACACGCGTGTAGGAAAAAGTTATCACAAGGTGCAACGCTCACGTCTATGGCATCAATCATGTTCTGCAAATAATCCCGATAAATAGTTGTTATATTCAATGCGCCCGCATCCGATTCAATCGCAAGTCCCAGCACGGCAATCAGAATCGGAGCAAACCCGAAATTCAACATCGTCTAAATCTTGGAGCTCTATTTGTCTCAAAAGGTATGTTTACGTTATGAATGACAGCGGAATACTACAACAACGCTCATCTTCAGTCCGATGCGAGAGTCAATTTGCGAAATTCCCATGGAACGGCAGCGATAAGCATTAGAAATTGATAAGACCGCCAGATTCGACATCAACAAAATTGACCTTCAGCAATACGTAATGATTTATAAATTATAGAAAAGTAGTTTTTTTGCAAACTTTAGCAAATTGCTGGCATCCAAACAATCGGAATTATTATTGTAGGAAATAATCAAACTATGGCATAGAATATGGTCAAGATCCAATGGTCGATGACCTCATCATAAAAATACTACCGAAAAGGAAATGCATTTGCTATTGCAAGAAGGTAAGTTTGAAATGCAACGACAATTAACATAACGACGACAGTTACCGCAAACATTATGGGAACAATTCTAGTTGGGCCGCAACCTGAAGCATTGTCTATGTGAGTAATGTACTCACCTTAATATCATTCGAATTCGGCGATACGAAAAACGAATTTAAAATTGCAAAAAATTACAAGGAAAAGATTTTTACATTTTTGTTACTTCATGTTGTTTGTGTTCAAATTTTGAAAAAAATGTAGATTTTTCAGAGCTGTAAAATTAGAACTTTACAGCGTTACCAATAACCGCAAGGCAAAAAATTATAACTTTAGCGCTTAAATAATATTTCTGAATTTTAAAACCGCACTTGGCACAATGAAAGAAGAGAAAGTTGAATTATTATACCCTCAGCCATATGGCTAGAGAGGGTATATATTTGATACGGCCAAAACGTGACTCATCGAAATAACGGTTTTAGACCCAGGTATCTTTGGACCAAATCCGTTTCAGGGCATTTGGAATCGATCTAGAGCTGTCCGTCCGTCTGTCTGTCTATCTGGCTGGGGCGCACGATAACTGTCGAAGGCAGTATGCGATTTGGTCCAACCTTGGTTCATCGTAATTTTATTATCTAACTTAGGTCGAGTTCGGGGATGGGCAATATCGATCAACTTCTTCTGGTACCTCCCCACAAAAGCTCGAAATTTTCAACGAAAATATTTTACTGCACAGAAAGATATATGATAAACCGAAATCGCTCCAATTTTGCAAATAATAATATTTGCATCTGTTCTAGGTCAGGTGCGAAAATGGACAATATCGGCCCACTCCATCAAATACCTCCCCCACAAAGTGTCAAAATTTTGAATAATTATAACACTTATAAAATAAATAAAATGTAATGTAAGAGTACAATTGTCTTCAAATTACTCACATTACACGGTCTAGGAGAAGTCCTCTGGAAAAACTTTCAGACTTGTATATAGCTCCCATACATATCTTTGTCCGGTTTCACGTTTATTATGCAGTAGATCTGTCTATAGAAATGGCATTTGGTACGTGGAAATAGTGGAAATAGATTCACGGTAGGATATAACTTCCATACATTAGTTCCTTTCGATTTCCAATTTTAACTGCTCTGAAACATTCAAAAAAAAAACGTTGATCTACTTCACATAATTTCCCAATATATACATTTACGCGTAGCTTTTACTAGTTTTCCATCTGTGAACTACGTTTGTGTAAATGTGAGCGCAATTGTCTGAATCAGTCTTATAACTAATTCGTTTGTCATTTTGGTACATTTATAATGTGTAACATATCCAATGTAAATCGTCTTTGGTAATTATTCCCTTGGGGAAATGTGTTGATATCCTTAAAATTGGGTCTGTGCCCTATCAGTATGCAGCGAATACTTTAATTCGTTCCAAAGGTTGGTCCGGTTTTTGTTCCGAATAATGAGCAGACATATACCTCCTGGAATGTTAATTTTATTAATTTTTACTTTTTAAGTAAGGTTCATTGAGTTGTAAACTTCTTCCAACAATGTCTCCAATAATTTCACATGTGTGACATTCTCTAGCATTCTAAATTTTTCATATTTCTCAAATAACATAAAGTAGAGTAGGGGATTACCTTAAAAATATGGACGTATTTCCTACAATAAGAATAAGCATCGTAAAACTATTGAAATACACCCCTAATGTTATGCCCACTTCCTGTCTGAATTGTTCAAAATCAGATGCAACAAGTTGTTTTCATTTATATCATATTTTAAATGAGTAAAAAGCGCAAAAGATAAATGAAGTACTTGGATTTTCTTTCATAAATATGATTCAAACTTTTAAATCTTTGAAGTCCATACCAAAACTGATAAATTTATTTAGTAAGCGCTATCATTGATTTTGAAAATATTTTGTTTTTATTTTTCGAAACAACCAATACATACACAAAATTGTCTGTCAGCTGGTGGCTTTGCCTTACCTTTTCTATTTTTAAAGGAATTTCAAAAATCCAAAAAACATAAAAAATATTGGCCATAACTAATTGGCATAAACTAATTAAGGTTAAATTTATTTCGATTTCCTATAACCCGATTTCCATTAAAATCAAACAACGATTCCAATTAAATGTACTTGGTTACCTTCATTTGTCAATTTTCTAACCGATAGAAAACTTCCGTCCATTCCAGCTACTCACAAAACATCTCTTCCATAAATTTCTCTGTTTTAACAAATCGGAAGGCAGTGCCTAATTCCGATTGCCTTCAATTCAGTACCATCTTGATCAAAGCTATGATTTTGATTTTTCCTAATCTCTGCAAATTCTGTATGTGACCTAAATGTGTCTAAATTTATAATTAAGTGCATTTATTTATTTACAATTAATACAGTTACCTAGCCCAGAGGGTCATTAAACATAAAAACAAATTAGCAAAAAAACAGTAAGAAAAAAAAGTCCGACGGAGCCGACAATTTGATACTCTACACCACTATGCGTTTATGGTAGATCTCTCGTAACAAAAAAACTATGAACCTTATTCGAATACGTATCAAAGCTTCAGAGTAGTCACAATTTTGGAACTATATATAACTCTGACACGATTTCCAACAAATTTGACGGAGGCTTTTGTACCTCTAGTACCAAATAACATTAAAAATTACTTATTGTAGCAATAGGACCGTTTTTCACCAAATGTAAAATTCAGTTGAATATGAACAAATCTATCGAATTTTGCTGATATTACATATATCGAAGCAATAAAAAATCTGAACCGATCGCGATAAAACTTGGCAGAATTATTTTCGAGCTGTATCTGATTATCCGGTTTCAAGTATCATTGTTGTGGATTGTATATTAAACATGTGAGGAACTTTAGTATAAAATCGGATAAAACATATATAAAACATATATATGGGAGCTATAGCTATACCTGAACCGATTTTCACCAAATTTAAAGTACATGCTTCGATGCTAAATTCGGTTTACTTCAATTGAGCTGATATTAGTCATTTAATGTACTTGAAATAGTATAAAAGCATGGTACAATGAAGAGAAGGTAGGTCAACTTTGAAAAAATTGCAAGTATAGAGGTCTACCTGTTTGGCTTGTAATGTCAGAATTACTATCAAAACAATAAAAAAGCAAACAACTTGTTGCATTGATTTTGAATAAATAATTTAAAACCGCGAAAACTGAATGAATGGTCAAAATTTCTTTTCAATATCATGTTCTATATATCTCTTATGGTTTATTTCGCGACAAAAACTGTACATTTTGTCAATGCATTTGTTGCAATAAGCATTTTGAAAACACCCGAATTTGAATATTTTCTGAACAATTTTTTATTATTGAAAAGAAGACACACACATAAGCAAATGAAGTTGACATATAGCCAGAAAAATAAAAAAATTTAAATCATATGGTAGTTCTGCCCTACCTTGAATTCATTGTACCATGTATAAAAGTATATATGGGAGCTTTAATCAAATCTACACCGATCTTGATAAAATTCGGCAGATGTATTTCTGGTCTGTATCTAATATCTGGTAACAAATATAATTGTTGTAGAGTGTATATTACGAATGTGACTTAAAAGCCCAAATCGGATGTATTTCCTCCAAATTTGAAGTACTTGTTTCTAGGATGAATTCAGTCAGAATTGCCAATATTCAGTTCATTTAAGTGCCCAAAATCATAATTTCGGATATAGACATATATGGGAGCTATATCCAAAGTTGATCTGGTCTCGATAAGATTTGCCAGAGTTTTTTCTGGACTGTAACTGATATTTAGTACCGAAGATCAATGTTTTAGAGTGCTTATTACGCATGTAAGGGACTTAAACCCCTAAATCAGATGGAACATATATATGGCAATATATAGCAATATCTGAACCGATATTTACCAAATTTGAAGTACTTGTTTCTTGGATGAATTCAGTAGGATGTCCCAAATTTTAGGTCATTTGGACTGGTATTAGTCATTTGGTGCACAATTAACCAGAAATCGGAAGACGATATGTATGGGAGCTATATCTAACTTGGAACAAATTCTTACCAATTTCAATGGGGTTCGTCCTTGGTCCAAACAAAAATAGTTCGGAACATTTCATCTCAATCGGATAATAAATGCGACCTGCATTTGGTTCATAAAAATACATGGACAGACCGACTGACATGCAGACAGAAAGTGATTCTATGAAGATCCTCAAAAGTAACTATAGGTCTATAGCGCTTCCTTCTTCATGTTACAAACAAATGCACTACTATGGGGTGTAGGGCATAAAAACTATGAACAAAAATAACAATCGGTTGAATGAATGAATCAGCTATGCAAGGGAAAAACAAAAACAAATTAACACATGAAAACCAGTAAAATTTTTAAACAATATTTAGATTGAAATGAGCAAACAATTCACGCTTATAACATTTTAAGGAAGAATTTAATGTCAGATTATAAAAATTCGAACATTTCTTATAGAGAATGATTTTTCAAACCTAGGAGTAAAGTGTGGCATAATGATTTGCAAGTTCGTTACATATCTAGAAAAAAACTTAAAAAGATCTAAAAGAGAAGAATGTGTCTTTAAAATGTTTGTAGAACAGCATTCACAAAACAATCGAACGAACCACCAATAAACTCGTTCACAGAATTAGATACATGATCACGACGTTTAACACAAAATTCGTACAGCATAACCCTATAAAAAAAATAGTTTCAACTTACGAAAAACAAGACCACAACTACCCCCCCAAAATCAAGAAATCATCATTTTTGTATTCAGTCAATAAAATAATTTTTAAACATTTTATTGCTTGTACTTACAATATAGTTTTGTTTTCTTTATAGATATTCACAATAAGTCGAGTTCTATTAATAGTCTATAAATAGTTTGACACACTCTATCTAAGCTTATAAAACTATTTTTTAAACTAATCTTAATTATATGATAAAAAATATTAATCTTAGTCTTCGTTCAGAACATTTCGCCATCAGATTCGATAACAAAAACTGTCCGATGGGTACATCACATTCCTGCGTTAAACTCTAACTTATGATAGAAGTGTCTTTGACATTCAAAACGATGGCAATGGCTTAAAAGAAAATTCTCCACCCCAGCCAAAATCCTAAATTTGCATTAGGGATTATGGCTAATCGGGAGATATAAATACAAATACGGAGAATGGTATGCCAAAAAGCAAATACGCTAAGCATACTTAACTTAAGTGCATAACTCAGTGCTTAGAAATAAAATTAAAAATGTTAGTAATTGTGAAATTGTTAATGCAGGAAAAAATGTTAATAGAAAAAAATATTTAAAATAAATTAAGAAAACTCCTAGGACATGACAGCAGTTCAAAACAAACAAAAAACACAAAAGAATTAATTCAACATTTCTAGACTTCGAAAGACGCCAATTGAATATAAATTATGAGAGGGCGGGAAAGTGGTCAAATGATAAGGGAGTATGTAGCAGTGAAAGACGTATTTATTTCAATTGTAATAGAAATAGGAATATTTATAAGTACAATACAACTATTTTGGGCCAAATAATCTGAACTAAACAAAATTTCCATTTCCGTGGGAATCAAGCTCATATTTTGTGTAGAAAAAATATTACAAACTATTTGTAATAGTATATTTTCATATAAATTTTACATGAATTCAAAACCGAAAAACTAGATTTGTTGAAATAAATGTAAAGAAATTGTGGATCCTGCAATTCGATTCGAACTCAGTAACTAAATCCTTATATACTCTCTACTGTGGTTGGTATGTGTGTTATGTTAGTAATGGTTTATTTTTAACTTATTCAGAGCTACTAAAAGTACGCGAACGACTTAAGCGTCGTGCAGCTGCAACTATTGCAGCAGCTTCACTATCTCCAGGCATTTCGGGAAGTTTTAAGATCTCATTCAACTTCACCTTCAATTCTGGTGTTGCAGGCCTCTCAGACGGGGTAGAAGAAAGCATTTTCTTCAACAGATCATACTCTTTGGGATGCTTGTGCGGAAAATCCTTTGGATACACTCCGTCACGTAGCGATCTGAGGGTCATAATACGCTCCATTTCGGTGCCAAAGTAAACGAGTAATTCGAAAAATATCAAACCCAACGAATATATGTCCACCTTGAAATCGTAGGGAAGGCCACGCAGTTGTTCGGGAGACATATAGAGATGGGTGCCAACCTGCTGGGTGTGGCGGGCACAAGACGGCATACCGGTTTTGTCGCCACATTTTGTCACCATATTTGGTATATCAGCCATATCTGTAACAAGACCAAAATCGCCGATTTTGATTTGTCCCTCCTGGGAGAAGAATATATTACTGGGCTTGAGATCACGATGAATGAGGCCTTTGTAGTGTACGTAATCGACTGCGTCAACAATCTGGTGGAAAATACTGGCTATATATTCTGAACGATTTTCGGTAACATTGTCTCGAAGCCAATCCCTCAATGACTCTTTGCGACACAGCTGCATTTGAATGTATAGATAGACTTTGTTTTGGGCCGGTTTCGCCACATGCGAGGCCTGCATAAGTTCACGACAATTATTATTATTTTCGCCCATACTGATATTCAAGGCCAAATCCTTAGGTCGACTTTTCTTTTTATTGAAAGCCTTGTTGGCATCATCGTCGTCATTATCTTGTGTTATATCAGCCTGTGAATCTTCACCATTAGCCGAGCCAACAAATTCAATTTGAAATGAATCCGACAGTTGGGAATAGTCAATGTTACGTTTGTTACGTCGGCTCAGACTTATGTCAGTGGAATTGGTGTGGATATCAATGGATATAGCGCCATTATGAGATTTTGTCTTATTTGTCGTTGAACATTCATCGTCACTTTCGCTGCCGCTCTCAGTGTCTTCTTCCCTCATGGCCAACGATTGTGATTCTGAGCGGAATATAATGCATGAATCGTCATCCTCGTCTTCATCTATTCCATTCAAATGGTTATTATCACATCCATGATCAGAACTGCAAGCTGTTGAAGCCATAGAATCCATCCATGACTTTAATTGTTGTTTCTTATCCACGGGATTAGGCGTGAAGACGGAATGTGTGTCGGTAGGCGTCTCAATTTGTATGGAAGTTGACATCTCATTGGCTAACCACTTGCTGTCCTCCTCTTCTTGCCAACCTGGTGGTGGTTTCTCTACCCATGACTAAAATAAAGAAGTAATTATATAAAAGAAAAGACTATGCGAAATAATTTCGCACTTACCTGGAAGTATCGAACAATGTTTTGATGTTCACAATTGGCCAGAGTTTTTACTTCGCGCATAACACGTACTCGGGACTCCTCTTTATTGGGCAATGTTATGCGTTTAATGGCATACCTACAATCATCCAATTTGTTTTTGGCTTCGAAAACAACGCCAAAACCACCACGGCCTAAGCACTGCATCATATCAAAATCAGATTGGAAACGTGAAGTAAAATGTTCTCCAGAATGAGAAGTTGACTCGGATAAGGAACGATGGGGGCCATTGGTACTCTTAGAATTGGTATTGGCGTTAGTCGTTGTTGTTTGTGGAGTGTTTGTTATTGGGCCCAGAAGTGCGGCTGTTGAGGACTCAGTTGCCTCTATACCCGTGGGGACTGGTATGTGACGTTCAATGACTACTATTTGCCGTTCTCGATTTCGTTGTCCAATGAAAAGATTCATCAATATTGCCGATGTAAAGGCGATAACGACAATTTCCTTCCACCAATACCACAACGACAAGATGACCACTCTCACTGGGGCATCGATATCATCTAAATTAAAGCCTAAATCGTCATCATTGGTATTATTGGAAGTTGTATCCTTTTCTTCGGCATCTTTAATAGCCGGCAAACCGCTTTTTTCTTTACTACTATTTGAATTGCATACAACATCGTCTTTACTCCTTTCCAATTCCTTGTCTGTGTAAAGATAGAAACCATTGCCATTTACATATTCTGAAGCATTCAGTACCGATTGAGCGGACAAAGCGAACATTTCATCATCGTATGGTACTAACTCGTTACCACGAATTTCTGAGCTAGGCAAGGCTGGGGCATCACTTCCGCCTGGTGCAATAACTTTATCTCCGTTCTCTTGGTATATGACCAGAGAACTGCTACTGGCTGATATGGGACGCCAAGGAATTTTCGGCATTTGGGATTCTGCCATTATTTGGGTGTATAAGTTTGATTGATCAAGTATTTCCTTGCGCAGGCTGACAGATTCCTAAAGTACAGGAGAGAATGGGTGAGTTGAATTAAACGCTCAAAAATATAGTATCTAATATAACTAAGGAGCGAAGATCGAGATTGAATTTCAAAAAGAGGAAATGACACATAACCAAAAATCATTGAGGAGTAAATTCTATAATATGTAAAAGAATAAACATAGGACTATGAACAATTTGTGTAAAAAACATTTTTTTTTTAATATTTAATTGTGAGAAAGAGAATTGTTATTCAGTAGATGGAACGAAACGAGGATGTTTTTAAAGTACTAAATGCAACTTTAAATCCCTAAAGCTGTCCTGGGTGGATATGTTGTCAAGCCGCAAGATGGGTCCAATAAGGCTGAAGGTGCCACACGAGAGGAAATTAAACGTATATATAATGACAATACTCCGAATCCGAAGATGAAGATGTCATAGGTATACCGCCGAGGAGGAGAATGAAGGACAAGCCGAGTTAAGATAAAACGATTTTTGGTCCAACGATGCGTCATCGTAAATGTCGCGCGACACAAAGAAAAGGTGGCTGATATTGTTCAAAAAACGTATTATAAATTAAATAGATCAAGAGTATTAGGTATTTATTCGGGACTTCCCACGCTTATGATTTTTCAATATGTCTTCAAAATAAAAACTATTTTCCAAAAATCAGCGCTTGTAAGTGATTTACCCAAGAATAGTCGATTATATGTGTGGACGCCAGTCGTCCGTGGAATTCCGGAACAAGAAGTTTAAGCCCCGTAGAGTGAATCCGGCAATTCCCCAAGGTGGGGTGATATATCCAGAACTGTTTAACCTCTACCTTACCGGAATTCCGCGTCCTCCAGACGGCATCGAGACCGTAACATTTGCGGATGACTGTACGATCATGGCGTTGGGTCCTGTAGTTGATGATATGTGTCAGGGTGAACAGCTATCTCGCAGAGCTTGCCGCCTTCTTCAATGCGAGGAATATGAAAATATCCGATACTAAATCAACGGCCACACTATTTACCACATGGGCTGCGGAGATGAGAAGACAGCTGAATGTGCAGGTCGAGGGACACATTATTCCGACCACTAACTACCCCAAAATTCTTGGGGTCACATTCGATAGCATGTTCAAGTCTTCCTCGCAAGCTATCCGCGATAAATTGAAAAGTAGAAACAATGTACTCAAGGCGCTTGGCGGCAACATTTGGGGGCGGATAAGGAAACTTTTTTAGCCTCTTATAAAGCGATAGGTCGGTCTGTGGTTAGCTATGCGGCTCCAGTGTGGTCTACGAATACGAGTGCAACGCACTGGAAAAGTATTCAGAACTGCGAGAATAGTGCCCTAAGAAGTGCAAAAGGGTGTCTCTTCACGACTCCAGTTAACCATTCACATGAGGAGACGAAGGTTATTCCCTTACGTCAGCATAATCATATGTTTTCGTTGCAGCACCTACTTGGGTGTTATCGTGGGAGTCGTCCTAACCACCATATGGTGGACAGAACTGATATTCCACCCGGTTTGCTAAATAATACATTTGAAACAATGTTCACCTATCAATAGTTACCTGTATGTACAATTGTTTATCATACATTCCCACATATATCGATGGATTTATTGTTGGTGGCGGCATTTCGTATACATTATCATCTCGATTCCATAACCATTGGGCAGATCCAAACATATCAATTGATTCCAATTTATCGGATGCACTTATTTTCCAAGCATTAACAATGGGATGGCTGAACTAAAAGTTGAGAAACAAGAAACACACGATTAGCTAAGACCATTCGAGCCAAACATAAAGTATAATAAACTTACCTTATATTTCCATAGCATAACCGATGGTTCCATTTTGCTAAAAGCGCATATAAGGCCCTCGGGCACAATAACTTTAATATCCAAGTCCAACATGGCCATATCAATGTCACTAAATTTGCGATCGTGACAATCTTCGGAACGCACTAAATCCAATTCATGTTGTCCCACACTAAAATTCCAACGCTCCATACCCGTGCGAGTCTCAATCGCACGTACTGTTTGTGTCAAACGTCTAACTACGATGACATCATCCACCAGGGGGTCATGTTCATCCATATAGTTAGGAGTACGATATGATCCTTCGTCATTTTCATTGTCATAGGTGTTGTCGTCATCTTCTATGGGGGCCATGATATTGGGATCAGGGCCGGTGGCATTTGCACAGCCCTCCATGGAGCATTCGTAAAGCATTTGTCCAGTACGTGCTGAGACACCATATGTTCGAGTTTCCTTTCCTCCAGAAATTACCAAATCGTCGGAGAACTTGGCAGAAGAACTTAGCAAGTTGTCGGTGGTAATGGGTATGGGATCAATTGATTGTCCATCAAATTTATATATGCCACCACTCAGTGATGGTATCATTCGCACAAATTGTCCATTGTTTGTCAATTCCAAGCGATGTATACTGGAGGAAATCAATGGGCCCGGTCCCGTTGGTATACTCCAGCGCATTTTTCCGCCTTTGGTGATGTCCAACGCGGACAGTCGTCCATCTAGCGTACTCACATATAAAAGTCTGAAACGCAAGAAAAGCAAAAACACAAGAATATCATTAATAAAAACATTTGCTCGATTTGATCTGCAAAACTGACTTTACTAGGAAATTTTTCAAACAAATGACGTCCATTGAATGACATTTCACAGAAACGACTATTTAATTGTTTTGCCTTCACACATGCATCTTGTTTTTCTGCCGCCGATTTGATAATGAAACCACGAATAACCGAAAAAAGCATTGTCAATAAATGGGAATTAATTACAAACAACAATAAAACAGATAACAGAAGACACCATAAATGATAATTATATTCTGGCCGGGTATTAATAAAATATGATTGATGTAAGAAAAATGTGTTGACCACTACTCACTCGGATGTGCAACGGTAACTTAGTTCAGTACGATTATTTTTCCTTTCTTCTGGACAAATTGTTTTCATTTATTTTGAATTTTTAGACATTAGAAGAACATAATTTCTCAAAATAGTTGTGAACTGAGTTGTGTGTAGTATGAAAGGTATTTTGCAAATGGAAATGGTAGGAAAAATGCAACTATCTAATTATATCTACTTATGTCTAAAAAAATTATGAGGTAAAAGACAATTCAAAGTTAAGTCCTTTTTAAAGCTTTGTTGGGTTCCTGGCCTTGCAACATTTCGGGCAATGATTCAGCAAATGAATTGGCAAGACGTAGTTCCGTGTCAACTGGTCTAGAGATTCAACGAGCCACCCTTGTATCACTTCTTCCAAGTAATACATAAGTATTACTACGGGAGATTTCAACATAACTGGTTAAAATTAAAGAGGTGTAATGCCTCCAAAAAAATTTGGCCTTTAAATTTCATGGCGAAATCTGACCTAAAACTTGTAGTAGGTTTAATTACATGTCACTGTAATATAAGGACCAAAACTTCTAAGTGGGGTCCACGTTACTGAATATTATAGGCTTTGCCAAGACGAGGAGGAGATAGCGACAGCGGAGCACATTGTCCAACTATTTTTGGTGTCAGACAGAGGCTCATGGGCAAGCAAATTTGCATGACTTGTCTTCACTCTCCGAAACTGAACCAACAGTCATTCTTCAGTCAGCCAGAAGACTATAAGGGCTAAAGACGACCCGATAATATTTTCGTGGATATTCCTCATTTCAATACTAATATAAATAATATTCCATCTCCATATTTAGCGGTTATATAAACCATAACTTTTATGTTAAAAATATGAAAATTCCCACTAAATCGCGAATATTTCTAATCCCGGACAAATCACAAATACACTAAGAGGTCACTTCTGACCATTACAGTGATGCTGATAGCCAAGATATATATAGATATATAACGAAAAAGGTCAATCGATATCTAAAATAAATATATTTTAGTTATTCTGCTTATAAGCCAAGAACCGCGATTTACACAGTTCTCATCAATTCGGAATGGTCTCTTGCCAGAAAAGGGTAGAATCTAAGAAAATCGCGTAAAAATATGACAGTAAAAAAGTGAATATTTTTTATTATATTTTTTCAATTTTAATCATATTTTTTATCGCATGCGATTTTTCCAATTTAACTTACTATTTTGAATTGTACATTTTCTTAAGTTTTTCTACACCCTGCAACACTATGTGTTGAAGGTATCATACACTGGTCGCAATTATCGTTCGATCCTCACAAAATTTTTCATGGGGGTAGGGTTAGGGTCAGCATAAAAGCCTATTGTTTTTGAAGATGTTCATTTAGAGGTTCAAATGGACTCCGATCAAAAAGCTAAAGATAATATCAGGGCAGGGCTCTATGACATGATTTCAAAAGCGAAATCGCTTCAGGCTATATAATGTCAATCCTTTGAAGATGTACATTTAGAGGTTCAAATGGACTCCGATCAAAAAGCTTAGGATAACCATCAGGGCAGGGCTCTATGACATAATTTCAAAAGCGAAATCGCTTCAGGCTATATAATGTCAATCCTTTAAACCGAGTACTATTTATAATAAGATTTGTTGACTCGAAAGTATTGAAATAACAAATCTCATATGATTTGGACCGTGCCTTTATTTTAGTTTTAATTTAAAACAGATTTTTAAATCAAATTAATGGTATCGATATGCATTTTTACTGTGAGATATTGCTTGGAATTGTGCTTGTAAATTAACTTAACTACTTTTAGTGCATCGCCTCTTCTTGAAGTTCTTTCAATATTGCAGATTTGGAGGCAGGCTATATTATTTTGTTACACCCATTGTATACACATTTCAAAATGCTTTGCAACTACGTCGTGCTCAATTCTTGGTTGTTCTTCTGAGCGAATGTTGTCTTTACTTACTATTAACATCAGTCATAGCATCAAACAAAACATTGTTGGGGAACCACCTTTTTCTATATCATCGGAATAGTGGCACAAATGTCTTCGCTCAATTGACACTCATTGTTTTTTTGACATTCCGTCGCTGAGTATACATCAACATCGCCTCCCTTACAGAATTCAGTGAAATATCGAGTACAAATGTTTTACAAAGTTCGTAATATAAGGTACTCAATGTAAATTTATTGGATGTTCGTTAAATCCAGAATTCGTTAAACCGATGGTTTGTTTAATCGGAAAACTACTGTAATTTCATACGCTATCAGGCTAAATAAAAACGTTCGTTGCTTACAAGAAGAACGTTTTAAAGAAAAAACTGGTGTTTAAAAATTTGGACGTAATATGCATATCTGAATAACCTTCTCAAATTAATGGAAGTTCTATATTGAAACAGATTCGTTAAATAACTTTGACTGAAATGGATCCACATAACACCTTCAAATAGAAATTTCATTATGGAATAGTTTGTCAAATAGATACCAATGGGAGTCTAGCGATTTAATTGTTGAGCTCTCGGGAAGCCACTCTTTCCAAATTTTTCCCTACTCCAAAAAGATCAAAATTGGCTATCTTGGGTGTAGAGCCTCGACAGTTTCAACAGTCAACAGTTTCAAGTTCGATTCTATACCTAAAAAAACTCGTGGTAAGTGTTATAACAGCTCTCTGCAACATAAAGGCAATAATTCTATGAAGGCGGCGATATTGATCATTATTGACTGTATGAACATGAAAAAGAAGCGAAAAGGACCTGCTACTTGGAATGTTAAATGCTTTTCGATAAAAGAAGAAAGAATCCAATATCTGAACTCCTTCTTCTCGGGTATAAAACTAGTGACTGTTTTGCAACTGCCCAAAAGGCTAAAGCGACAAGAGCGCTACAATAACACAGAATCGTAAAAGAGTGTAATGTTTAATTTTTTCATTAATTATTTTATATCTATCAGATTAAGCTAGAGTCTCATTCTATATCCTGATTCCATACTAATGCTACAATTTTGTTAAGTAGAGTAATTACTCGGTGGTCATCGGATATATCAAAAATCCTAAAAGTTACTATATTTCTAACAAAAACATGAAGAATTGCGACTCGCCTATTGGCTGGTAATACCAGTTTGCAATAAAGGGAAAATATTACATATATATTTTTTATTTAATGCTAAAATAGCTTGCCACCAACAATTAATTAAATAGGAAAGGATGCATTTCTTTTTCAATATTAATAACGTTCATTGGCCGTGAGTTTGGTACATTTCAATTCTGCCGGCCCAAGTGGGTAATTTTATGAGGAGTACTTCCTACCCAAATATTAAAAAGTTTAAGATTCGATATTTCAAATTTCCCAATTTTCCCTATTACGTATTGCGTCTAGTATTATTTTAAGCCACTAATTTGAATTCAGGTTATATATTTTTAAATAAAAAGCATCGGAAAGATTTTAGTGATAGATTCAGGTTGTTAAACAAATTGACTGTTATACAAAAAATTTTCGAACAGACTTCTTTTTGTTAAATTAATTAACTAAAATTTTTTAGCATAAACAAAAATGAAAGCAACTCATTTTTGCACTGTCAACTTAATGCTTGCAAAAGTACTTTAGTCTTATCTTGAACTTACGGAAAACAAAAATCGCAATCGTCCCGTAAGTGAACAAATCAATTTTGGTTCCAGCGGCATAGTACAAGATAATACAACGTGCAATGTCAATGTCATGGCCACTTATGATGGTCCCAATTCACACTAAAGTTTAGAAATGAAATGGAATTAGAATTGATTACTTGTAATTAGTTGACCTCACATTTCTTTTCCACAAACCTTCCCCGTCATTTCGGAGCCACTAGTCCGACAGCTGTTAAAATTATTCCAGTGACAGCTCATAGTTTGTTTACAAGCGTATGCATGCATGCATTTTGGTGATAATGTGATTTCTTTATATTTGGCTGGAAAACCACAAGTGGTTATCGTTAGAGCACTCCAGCATTTAAATGTGAATAAATCTATTGTGTCTCGTACCACCGCTCGTTACCGTGATACTGGAGCGTAGCGCAACGTCAAGGAAGTGGATGGAAAAAAAGCAGCAACGTCAGCAGAAATGGTTCGAAAAGTAAAGAAGCGACTTGATCGAAACCCGCGTCGCAGTGGCCGAAAAATGGCTCGTTAGCTGAACATATTGCAATATTCCATTCGGCAAATCTTGAAAAATGAGCTCAGGGTAAAGTCATTGAAATTCCAAGAAGTACAAGAAAGAAAATAGACTCAAAAGAGCTAAAGAGTTGCTTCGCTTGGCCGAAAGAGGTGAACTGCCGAATTTGATTTTCTCCGATGAAAATACATTCGTTGTCCAGCAGTTTGTAAACGAACAAAATTATGGTGTTTACTTGCCAAAGAGGTCAGCTGAAAATGTGCACATTCGGTTGGCCACCAGAACTCAAACGCCGGCCATGGTGATGGTGTGGGCTGCCACAACAGCCGATTGTCGCTCTCCGCTCGTATTAATCGATCGTGGCATCAGAATAAATGCGGAATATTATTGCGAAAATATTCTGGAGGGTGTATTAAGGCCTTGGGCACGCAAACATTTTGGCCGCAGACCTTGGACATTCCAACAGGACTCAGCACCATCGCAATCAGCACGCGCCACCCAAGAATGTTTACAAAATGAGGT